TTAATTCTTTTAATTTTTTTGATTTTTCAATAATTAAAATAATATCATTAATATTATTAATATTAATTAATGTAAGACATGTTATTTGTAATATATCGTTATGTTTTTCTATATATTTTTTTAATGAATGAAAATTTAAATTATTATATAAAGTAACATGAGTAATTAAATTTGAACATTTAAATAATAGATTAATAATATTAATTACTAAATTATTAAATTTAACTATTCTACGAATATCATAATAATTTATTACTTTAATAAATTTAAGATATGGAAAAATAGTATTTTTTTTATTATTTTGAATTTTATTAAATATATTAGAGAAACGTTTTTTCAAAATATATTGTTTTTTAGTATTTAATTTATTATAAATAATTCTTTTTAATGAATCATTATTATCAATTTTAGAATATTCAAATGGGTTTTGCCATAGAAATGGAATAACAATTCTACACCAATCTCTTGAAACTAAAAGATAGTTAAATAAATTTCTATCATTAATATCAAGATATAAAATTATTTGATATATTAATTTATTAGGCAACATGATTTAAAATTTAATTTATTTATTCTTATTTTTTAAAAAAAAATTGTTATTAAATATTGTAACGATACAGGCCAGAACTACCCTAGAATTCCCTATTCATAGGGTAGCCGATATGTCGTTAGCGTAACGTAGGACGTTACAACACTCGAAAGAGGCGTTGGATTTGGTGAGTGTAAGGTGGGTATTTATTACTATACGTCCTGTGTGTTCTATATATGTTCTGTATTTACATTTTAAGCACATTACTTATATACTTTTTCCCTATCTGCTAAATACACTATTTACGCTCTATACACTATATATGCTATATCTACTTTATGCACTATATCTACTTTATGTGCTATATCTGCTATATACGCTATATACGCTATATATGCTATGTTTACTAATTACGCTATATACCCTATATCTACTAATTACGCTATATACATGCTAAACCTATTAATTAATATGTACTATTATTTAATTATAAGATCAATCTTTAATAAATTATTAATGATCCTACTTTAGATCGTGACAATATATATTGATATTTATAAATATAAAAAATTAATAATTTATTAATAATAAATTTATTTAAATTTACCAAAATAAGATTGAAATATTTCTATTGGATCTTCAGATTCAAAATTTCTAACTGTAAATTCAAATTCTTTACTAATAATTTTTTCTTTAAATGTTGTATAAATAGTTAAAATTGTAAAAAAAATATCATATGATTCAGAAATCAATTCTAAAAAAGCTAATTTTTTTAGATTATCGATAATGAAAATAATTTTTTCAATATCGATAATAGTATCTTTTAAAGTTAACCATCGAAGATTTTCTATTAGAATAATTTCTTCAGGATAAATATCAATAATTTCATATAAACGAAGAATTATGAGATTTGGTAAATTAATAAGAAAATCTTTATCTATGTTATCAACTTTTGATAATGATAAATCATTTATATTATCATTTTCAAATTCAAAATAATCTGGTAAATCAATATTCATTAATATTACTTGAATTTTATGATTACGATTTTTCATATAATTATTTAAAAATTCTAAACTATTTTCATTAAATAAAATAAAACGATATATTACATTTGAAGATTTTACTAATAAATTAACTATTATAGATATTAGATTTGATTTTTTAGTTTCAAAAAGATCAGATATTCGACTATCGTCTATTTCCTCAATGTATTTTAAATAATTAAATATAGGAGGTTTATCAATTTGAAATTCATATTCATAATTAAGTTGTTTTTCAGGTGTTAAAAAATAATAGATTATTTGTTTTAATGAATTATTTTTATCATGTTTGCAATATTTTAAAGGATTTTTCCATAAGAATGAAATAGTGAAAATAAACCAATATCTCGAAATAAAAAGATCTTTAAATATATTTCGATTTTTATCAATCGTATAGAAATACGAAAT